TGATGGAGTGAGGATGTTAATGTCAATCTATATATTAAATATTAGTAAAGCTTAATTGATTTCATATCGTATTTATTTTTCACTAGCATTTCCAACTTATTTTTCCTAAATGCATACAAGCACTAATTAGATATTGCTTTTGTCACATCCATTTAATCAGCAGCCCTAGATTTGCTGTAAACAAATATTATTGACTGGGAAGAAACTGAATCTTACTATTGGAAGCACAGGGTATGTGGCACAATAGTCTACTTGCCTAAAGAAATCAGGTTATTAGAATTCTGAGCTAGAAGGATCAGAATAAGCCTCTTTAATTTATTTTGTAACTGAGTCTGAAACATGGAGGGATACTGCAGCAACCATACCAGAACAGTAACTTGAGAGTGGATACAAGATTTGGAGTCAGTTTCACTCCTGGCTCGTCTGCTTTTAACTTGTATGGCCGTAAGCAAGTCACTAATCTATCTAAGTCTAGATCTACATTTAACCTGTATGGCCATGAACAAGTCACTAACCTATCTAAGCCTAGATCTCCCTCTCTATAAAATGAGGGAGTTGGAACAGATAGGTTCTAAGGTTCCTTCTAGTTTAAATCTGTAATCCCTGTCATCCTCAGCTCTTCCTAGAGTATTTGCCTTGTGTAACTCCCTCTTTAACTATAAGTAATAAGGTAAGTTTAGGCTATTTTTTTTCCTTTAGGAAATCATGGTTTTCATCCAATCTTCAGGGTATTCCTTTGTAAATGTCATCCTATTGTGTTTAATTGGAAGGGAGGAGAAATTTTATTCTCCCCTCCCCCAATTTATGTATCAGAGGAGATAGCCATAGGTAATGTAGTCCAACAGATGACGGTAAAAAAGTGTTAACAGTAATCCCTTCACAAAGCATGAACAATTCTCTTTGAGTCAGAATGGGCAATATGGTAGGCTGAGCTGAAAACTGCCTGTGCTTTGGGGGACTTTAAGCCTTGGAGACCGCTAGCATTTGGAGAGTTTAGCAGTTTGGTAGAGTTGAAGAAGCCAGCAGTTGGGGAAGAACCAAGATCTTCACCTCTTGGAGGGACGGGAGAGGAGGAGAAGATTTTTTTCTCCTTCTCCTTCCGTTAGCCAAGGTATCTAGCAGCAGAAAGGAACTTTATGAGAATTCCAAAGAAGAGAGTTCTGGAAATGTGAGTTGCCTTGGCCACATCTGTTTTCTACCTGTGTGCCTCACTTCAAGGTTTATGGCTATTGTTCTCATGAACACTGAAAGTATTATGGGATTGTGCTCCCCAAGTTTCTGGGGAAAATCATTGCTTTGAGCTAATTGTGTCTTTTGACTGACTAGTGATGAGAAATACACCAGTGGTAATGTACATGAGATCTAGGTACAAACAGTTTCACTTCAAGACAACATGGATGATACAGGAAGAAGGGAGAAACTCTCATCCCTTTCTTTTCTTCCTCCTCTCCACCTCCTCCCTCCCCATCCCCCAACCCTCAGCCCAGGCACTTTCCTTTGGTATAGGCACAGAGTATCCTCTCTGAACCTTGACTGATTCCAATTGATGAACTCTTAGATTGTTCAACTGTTTAAGGACCTTCTGGGGATAGCCATAGCCAATTTTTTCCAAACCATTGTTTTGGGGAAAGGGGCCTGGCCCTTCTAATTCCATTAAGGATTATTTTTCACATTTCAAGATGTTAGCATGTATTTTGTGGTATTAAAATTTAATAATAGTGTTAAACTCAAATAGAACTAAGGTCGCAAGAATTTCTGTACATAAGGATCCCTGTGAGGAGTATTGACTTAGAAAACCATATGTTAACATTATCTATGTTTTACTGTATTTTTATTTGTTTTGTTAAATATTTCCCAACTACATTTTAATGTGGTTCAGGCCTCACTCCCCACTGCGTGTTTGATATTTCTGCTAAAGTAAAGAAGGTATAAGCTGTTTTTCTATGTGTGTTTTTGGTGTAGAAGGCCCTTTTGCTCGGTCTCTATGCTTGTTCACTCTCCAATTTGATGGTATGTATATTAAGAACTTGTGCTTAGGTATCTTAGGAAAGTACTCTATTATAAATCTCTTTACTATGGTATTCCAGAAAATGCCTTTTCTCTGAGCTAATTGTATCTCCTGGCAAACTGTTGAAAGGTATAGGTAGGAGCTTGCAAGCAATTGTTTTAGTTTAGTTTAGACCTGCAGAATACCTTGAAACTGAAGGGGGAAGAGGGAATAGGGCTTTCCCTAGGTAGAATGACCTGGGAGGGTTACTACTTGGGCACTAGTATAATAACTAATAACTTAAATTTAAATAGTATTTTAACATGTTTAATTTTTGTCTTTCTATCCCTAGCAGCTAGCAATGTGCCTAATACATTTTGGTTTGGGGCCTGGACCTGTGATTTCAATGATACAGGAAACTTCCAATGAGGAAATTCTACCTATGCAGATCTGCAAATGCTCCATAACTTAGAGCCTTAGAGAATTGCTTGGAGGAGCACAGACAGGTTGAATGGCTTGCCTATTCACATTCACAATTTATGTCAGAAGGGACATTTCCCTCCTAGAATTTCAGGGATGTTTAATAAATTCTTGTTGAATCAATGAATGAATGGGTGGATGAATTTCATTTGATCCTTACAACAACCTGTATGATAGTGTTGTACCGAGAAATCAGTGAGTGCGACCCAGACATAATTTAAAATGTGGATTTATTAGCCTGCAGCTGCAAACGATATGCACACCCAAATCCAGCAGCCCCGATCAGGGGTCGAGCTAGGATTTATATGGAAAAGAGCATGGGAAAGAAATGCCAGGAACACTGATGAGGTAATCCAAAGGTGCAGATGTCTTTGGGGGCTATGGATGAGAAAGTACAGGGAGTATACCGGACAGGGAGGGGGATGGATCTTTGGAGTCTGGCAGGAGGAAGAGTCTTTGGGCTGGCCAAGGACTCCCCTTTCCCTCTGTCTTGATGAGAGAATGCTCTGCAACAAGGGAAAGCTTTCTCACAACAGAGGAACTTACTAAGGAATTGGGAGGCTTCCAGAGACATGATCTGAGGGCTGGGGCCTGAGCAGCCCAGCTCTGTGTAGCTATACCAGGGAGAGAGATAAGGGTTGTGCTGAGGCCCATGCATGAATAACTGCTAGGCACAATGTCGTTGGGCTGGGGAATGGTTGTCAGAGACAGTGTTTCTGAGACTAGGGAGAAATTGGGGCACAAGTACAAGCACAAGCACCCAAGCACCCCATCATTACAGGTCAGAGATCACATAAACCAGACCAGGTGTCCTGGTGTCTGGTATAAACATAATTATCTAAAGCAATTATATTGCAAGCTTTCTTATCCATTTGCATTGGAGGTATGGGCTGTGCTGAGCTATGCAAGAGTACATTTCACTATTGTTTAGATTTAGGAGGAAAGAGGTCTGGGGCAAGATTAAGCAGTAATTTCTGCTTTCCATGGCTTAAAGGGCCCTGCTACCTAAATGGTAAAATAATGTTCTGCATAACAATAGGCACTATTATTATTTTAATTTTACACTAAAAATGAACTCAAGAGGTTAAATGACTTGCCCAGCCAACAGAGTAAGGCTACAAACAAAATCCTATGGGGGGAAGGGAAAGAGGAAAGGAGAGAAATTGAAACTCAAAATTTGAAGGAAAAAAGTAATGTTAAAATTGTTTTTTCATGGAATTGGGAGAAAGTAAAAAAATAAAAAAAATCCTGAAGAATGCCTACATGTTAGCAACAAAAGGAGGAATAGTAAAGGAGACTCCTATGTGCCGCTTGATGAAAATACAAAGACAAAATGATAGAACTCTCAAGAGGAAATCTACTTGTCTGGTGTTATCCATGCGAGGATGGAGTGTCTTGTTTGTGGAACAGACAGGAGGTAAATGTCATTGCATTGAAGAGTACATGGTGAGGTGTAAGATCTAATAAGAATGGAAAAGTAGGAGAGGGCTAGATCGTGAAAGGTTTTGAATACCAGACAGATTTTGGATTTGCTCATGGAGGCAATAGGGAGCCACTTTAGTTTACTGAGTAGCTGACTGACATGGTTGTACCTGTGGCTACGAAGATCCCTTTGGTGGCTGAGTTGAGAGAGTTGAGGAAGGCACGCCCACCAGAAGGCTTCTGCATGAGACCCTGCACTAGAGTGGTGGCAGTGTTAGAGGACATAGTAGCCAGATGTTGCAAGGTGAAATCGGCAAACAGATTGGATATTGGAGGTGAGAGATGGTGAGGAGTCAAGGATGACTCTTAGATTATGAGCCTGAGGGACTGGGAGAATGATCTTGCCCTCCATACTAATAGGGAAAATAGGAGGCAGCAAGATTTAGGAGGAAAGTTTTGTTTTGGACATGTTGGGTTTAAGATGTTTACTGGACATCCAGTTTGATACGTGAGATTGAAGGGCATCAGAGAGACTGGGGCAGGATAGGTGGATGTGAGAATCATCAGCATAGAGATGGCAATTGAATGAATGGGCGTAGATGAGATCACCATAGAGGGAGAAGAGAAAAGGTCCCAGGACAGAACCTTCAGGGACACCTAGGTTAGGGCATGAACGGGATAAGATTCAAAGAAGAGAAAAAGAGGACTGCATATTTAATTATGTTTTATTAGGTAGTTTTTAAAAAAATTAATATGATAGTAACAAAACGGCCCTGCAACGTCTCCTTTGGAAGTCTTCCTTCCTCTTGTTCCTTTTTAAAACGTTTTACTGATATTTTCTTTTTTATTAGCAACAACACCCTCCCACTCCCTATTTGCCCAGTCAAGCAAGGCAAATTCGGACATTGGTCTTGTTGGAAGAACCGAAGTCTCAATCTGGACTTTTAGTTAGGAAGAGGTTCCTCCACCCTTCCTCTTTGGCCACCAATGAGGTTAAAGACTAGCCGGGTCTCCAAGTCCCGGGCGCTCTACTGAGCATGTGCTGAGATGTACGCATGCCCAGTAACCTTTGCGAACGACTTGCCAGACTCAGCCGTGGCGGGGCGGGGCTCTCTCCCTGCCTAAGGGCTCAGGCTCTCCGTGCCTGTCAAGTAAGACTGAAGCGAGGGCAAGGGTGAGTCGCAAAAGGTCGTAGTGTGGTGGTTCCCGGCAGGCTCCACTGCAGAGCTGAGTCAGAGATGTCGGCCGCCGCTGGCGGGGAAGCTCCTGGCCCACCGAGGGGTTTCGCCAAACGAGTCCTGGTCACGGGTGGTGCTGGCTTCATGTAGGTATCGGTGACTCCGTCTCAGGGGGATAGTGGGGTGATGGCCCCTCTGCTTTGCGGCCCGGGAGGGGGATGGGCGTGGGCCCCGCCCCCTGGCTGTCTGGGCTGCGAAACTTACACCTGGCTTATCTAGGCGTCTATCATCCGGGTCCTGGAGGGGGTCTGGTGCTGAGCTCGTCAGGCCATCTCACTGAGTGAGTGGGAGAGAGAGACAGAGAGATCTTTTTCCCTTTTCTTCTCTTTTTTAACCGCTTCAGAATCCTCTAAAACTTACATCTTGCTTGGGCATATCGTAGCCATCGAATCAAGGATGATTGCATCAAACCCAGTTCAATTCAGCAAGCATTTATTGCCTGCTGTGTGTAGAATGTATTTAGAAAGAGATGCAAAGTGTAAATAAGGCAGAATTCTGTCTTAGTTGATTTTACAATTTAAAATGAAGATATGACTAGTAACAGCAACTGTAATTCATGAGAATTCAGTAATAACTTACATTCAAGAGAAACAGAAAGTGTTTTGAGCGTTAGTCAGTCATACAAAGCTTGATTGGGAGGGTGGTTAATGAAGGTGGGTAGGAATTCAGCAGGAAATCGAGAGGAGGGAAGACGTTATAGACAAGTTGGTTTTTTTTTAAATTAAATTTTAACTGATATCTTTTGTTCTCATATTGCCAAATTTCCCCCTTGTGTTTTTCTTCCCCCTTCCCAGAGAAGCCATCTCATATAATAAAGATTTTTTTTTAAGAAAAAGAGAAGGAAAAAAACTCAGTTAAACTTATCATTACATTAAAAAGGAAAAAAAAAACCCCAACCCTGACAATACATGCAGTGCTTAACATCTATGAACATCCCACTTCTGCAGGGGAGTAAGTAGGGTTAGATATCTTCTCATATTTCTTCTTTGGGACCATGCTTGGTTTTTTTTTTGTAGTTGGTAATTTGTCTTTAAACAGTTTTCCAAGTTTGGTCTAGTCTAGGGCCAGCTTGGGAATAGTAATGACAATTGTTATTTATGTAGTGCAGTGTGGTTTGCAAAGCATATTATATACATCAGTTTTTTTTAAAGTAGATATCCTCATTTTGCTGATGAAGAAATTGAGATTCAAAGAGGTTGTGACTTGCTCATAGCTAGTAAGTGCCCAGTGGGATTCAAATCCCACTCAAGGCTTTCTTTCTCAGGATCCAGCATTTTATTCACATCACCAGGCTATCTTGTATCTGCAAGCTAGGAAGAGAGTTGGACTAAGTAGAAGTAAGCCTACTTTTATTCCTGGCTCCACTACTGACTGACTGATTGTGTGAACATATTCAAATAACAGTCTGTCTAGGTGAAGTTCTCTCTGTAGCGTGAGGGTGTTAGTTAAGATGAGTACAGAGGTTCCTTCTTATTTTATAATTCTTTTATTTCAACCATTGAACCAGAGCTTCAAAGACATGAATCAGTTTTGGGCTTAAGACCCTGAGGCTGATTTGGTAGCCATAGTCATTTACCTGATACTGTAGTACTCATCCCTGGAATGACAGTAAATGACAGTGATTTCCTACTATTTGCGTCAGAGATATAATTTGGTATAGCTCAAAGTCTTCATAATAACCCTGTGAAGTAGCTACTGCAAGTATTACCTTCCCCAGTGAGGGAATAAATGGGGAAGTAAATGTTTAACTTTTTACAGTTATAAATTCAGATGAATCAGTAATCAATTCTACATACTACTGTAATAATCAATAATTAGGCCTTAATATGTAAGTTGTGAAAGGTAAGAAAGCCTACTTTCATCTTAAGTGTTTTATCTTTTGTCATTGTTATTATTTGTTTTTTTGCTTTAAGAATCAGGATATGGGGCAGTGAAGTGGCGCAGTGGATTCAGCTCTAGCCTTGGAGTGAGGAGGACCTAAGTTCAAATGTGGCCTCAGACACTTGACACTTAGTAGCTGTGTGACCCTGGGCAAATCACTTAACCCCAATTGCCCAAGCCAAAAAAAAAAAAGAATCAGGGTAATTCATTTGCTTTTCCCTTTTTGCCATTTCTCAAGAGGTTGGCTCCTTTTATTTGAAGAACATTACCATATAAAATGATCTAGTTATAGTACTTTACATGTGTTTATCACTTGATTAATTTAAAAGCACTTTCACATAAGAGGCATAACTGTAAAGTAATGGCTGATTCCCATAAGCCACACATGAAAAACAGTTTCATTACTTCGTGATACTTGTGTATTATCTCATCTGATCCTCTTACTAGCTCTGGGAAATAGGACAGATTTAATAGGATATTTAATCTGGCAGTAGTATGTAAAATGGCATGGAGGTAGAATGAATGTGTTAGGTTTTTGCAATAGCCTCTAATGAGACAATGGAATAGAAAGAAGAGATTTTGTGGTGAAGAAGTAGAATCCTCAGGTCTTGATATTCTCTATATGTGAGTAATAAAGGAGACAGTGATAGTAAAGGTAACTTGGAGAAAATTGGTACAGTTGATAGAAGTAAAGAAGTCAGGAAGACATCATTCTGGGATAAGAAAATCAGTTTGCTTTGTAACAATCTATTTGAGATGCATGTGGAACATGTAGGTGTAAGTGTTCCTTATCAAGTTAGAATTGCTGTATTGGAGCTTTGGAGAAAAACTTCGACTTTAAAGAGATGTGAGAGTGATTTGCATGAAGAGGAAATTAAAGCCATTGGATTAGCAAAGGTCAAGAAATACCCAAGTCTAATTTGAGAAGGGCCATGGACAGAGCGTGCGTGTTGAGGGTAGGAGAACTGGGAGAATATGGACTTGCATAGGCCCACTGAAAAGAGATTTCAGGAAAGGATTAACAAGTGGTGGCAATTGCTGCAGAAAGGTTAGAGACATGAGAGCTGAGAAAAGCCATGGGATTTGTCTACTAGGAAATCGTTGGTGACCTTTGAGAAAACAGCAGTTTTGGGGAAGGTTTGAATGAAATGTTTTCAAGTAGAGGTGAGGAGGCAGTGTTTTTGAAGAGCCAGTTTTGACCAGTTTTGAAGATGAAAAAGAGAAGAGATGAAATGAAGTCCCAAAGATGACAAGTGGTTTCAGATGATGAGAAGAACTAAGTTTTTAGAACAAACATCAGTGGAAGTGGAATTTCAGTTTGCAAAGATTAATCTTAATGTCTAATTTATCCTTAAACATTCACAATCAAGTATCTCATAAATATTTTAGTAGAATAATTGGACATGGCTAGCCTTAGATGAAACAGAAGTTTGCAGTGGGTACTGGTAGCTCTTTTTAATTTTTTATTTAATACCTCAGTCAACCAATAAATATTTATTTAATACTTATTATAGCCCAGCACTGCTATGGGAATACTAGTACAAAAGTGAGACAGTAATTGCTGTTATTCTGTTGGAAGACAGCATGTTTACAGAGAAGTAAATACAGGTTGTATACAAGAAAATGAGGGTTACTAACAAGTGGTGGAACCAAGAAAGGCTTTGCAAAGGAAGGTTTTTGCAAGAAAATCCTTTATATGTTCTTGCCACAGAACCAAGAAGTTTTGCATGCTCATAAATAACTTTGTGACTAGTTTTGGCTTCTAGCTTACTTTGGTGTTAGAACATTAGAGGAGGTAGAGGAGCAGACTTGGGAAGGTATCATCGAAGGATGAGACATTTGAGTTGGACTTTTAAGGATTGAGTAGGAATTTAGCAGCCTAAGTTGTTAGAATATTATGCCTTAGTGGAATTCAACTTTTTTTCTTTTTTACCATAAAGAAGTTATTTGGGGGGGAAAAAAGTGCTGTTTCCATAACAAAATGTTGATTTGATCGTAGCTCCTTAGTATGAAATATAAAACTTGCAGAAGCATATTTTAATTTTTACTAGTAACCAATGGTTGGTAACCAAGGCATAGCTTATTAGGTAAAGAAACTAAATAGCTTATTTTGTTTGCATTTTTAATTGCACTTTGACTTCTAGAACCATAGACATCCTTTTTTTTTCCAACTGCCTCATTGGGGAAACAGGATAAGTAGTTTGCCAATGGCCACATATATAATTTTGTGTTTCTTCTGTTACACTAGGTTGCACTTCCTGTATTGACAAATGTGTTAATCAGGGTAACTGAGCAAGTAAATTAATTTTTTTCTTTGTAGCTCAATCCATAACAGATATCAATACCAAGATGAACAATGGCACCATGACACAAATACGCCTACAATTTGCAGTAAATATCCTTGTGACTTGAAATTGAGACTGAAGGCAGTCTGTTCAATGAGTTGACTTAGCATTTTTGGAGTCAAGCAGGAGTTAGTTCTCTTTCTTGTTTTTAGGAGCCCAAAAGAACTGGGTACTGATATGCAGTATAATACATCAAGTGCTAGATTAGAAGTCAAAGACCTGGGTTCTGTTTCTCACTTTCATACTTATATCAGCTGTGTGACTGAGCAATTCTTTTCAACCTCTTGAGTCCCTTTCCTTATCTTTAAGGCTGATAATATAATAACCCTCCCCTCTCACAAAATTGTTACAAAGATCAGATGAGATTATTCATGTGAAAAGACTTTAAAGTATTACACAAATGTAAGGTAATGGGGAAGCTTAACAGAAAAAAGTATAGATACTTACAGGACTTTTACTGCCTTTATCTAGGAGGCAAGTCAGAAGACATAAAGTGCATATTTTTTTCAAGGTACTAGTATAGTAAAGGACAGATAAAACGAACATACTAGAATTTGGGGAAATGTCAACATTTTCTTTAAAAAATAAATTTCCCTCTTTGTTTTTATTTTATTTTTTCTTGTAGTGCATCACATGTGATAGTCTCTCTAGTAGAAGATTATCCAGACTATATGATCATAAATCTTGACAAGGTAAGATTTATGAAAAATGTACTTGCACAGTATAACAAGTAATGCAGAAATATAGTTCAATTTAAAAATACATAATATTGTTACCTTGCCATGAAGAAATATCATAATTTATGGTTAATCATTTTAATAAATAGATAATGCAGTATTCAATGTAAAATGAATATAAAATCCTATAATTATTTATAACATGAACTGGAGGGGGCATAACAGATTGACAGCCCAGGTACTTAGGAAATATAACAGAACCTCTAAGAAAACTTCTAAAATATTGGGACAGTCCTCTGGGATAGAGGGAGAACATGTATAAGAAACAGATATGGGTTATGATTTGTGTCCAAGGAGACAATACCTATGTCACTTAGACCTCAGATCCATTAAGTGTGAATTATATCACTCTCTTTATCTTGACAATGTTTCTGCTTAAGTGACAACTATCCCCCAAATCAGCTTGACTTATGTAGCAAGCACTAGCCTCATAAAGTGATGCAATAGAAGGAAGTCAAGTTTTCCCTTTATGTTCAGAGAAAAAGGCTGTAATTGGAAGTGGCATGGTTATGGTGGTCATACAAAACCAAAAACACCACCACCATCTTAGATCACAAAGAAAATTTTTATTGAGACTTGAATGAGCTGCCAACCACTGATCTAAGAGGATGCTGGCTATTAAAGAGATATAGGCAGTCATAGAGACCTTATTCATTATCTAGGTCAACATCTTTATTTTACAAATGAAGAAACTGAGGTCCAGGGAGGTTCAGTGACTTGTCCAAGGCAAGCACATACTAAGTAGAAGAACTAGGTTTGAACAGTGGTTTTAAAATTCTAAATCAGTGCTCTTCCCATTACATCCTGCTGCTACCTTAAAAGTTTAAAGTAGCTACAACTGATCCTACTATAATTATCAAAATTAACTGATAAAGTGAGAGTTCTATCATAAAAATTAATAGTGCTTTATAATGACTTTGTTGCTTTTCTCCTTTTAAGCTGGACTACTGTGCAAGCCTGAAGAACCTTGAAACCATTTCTAACAAACAAAACTACAAGTTTATACAGGTATAGTGTCTTTCTTATTACTGTTTTTATGTATTTTGTTTAAAATCTGATTAGTCATGAGAGGAAAAGAAAGATGTAAACTGGCATTGAGGAAACAAATTATCCTCATTTGTAGATGACATGATAACTTACTTAGAAAAATGTCCAGGGGTAAGCAAAAAAACTAATCAAAGTGATTTAATAGCTTCAGCAAAGTATCAGGATACTAAAAAAAAATAGCATTTCTACACAGTACTAATGAAATCCAGGTGGAAGTTATGAAGAAATTTCATTTAAAATACTAATAAAATACATAAAACATTGGTTATTAACCTCCCAGTATACATTCAGGACTTCTATAAATACAAAACTCTTTATGAAAATACTAGAAAACTTAAAATATTGATGAATTTTTCATTGCTTGTAGTTGGATTACATGAATAAATACAAATGATAGTACTGCCTAAGTTAGAGATTTAGTATTATAACAGTCATTCTAATAAGGTGTTGCTTTATAGAAGTAGATAAAATAATTCTTAAATAATCATTTAGAGAAGCAAAAGATCTAGAGTCTCAGGATTGAAGGTATAGCACTGTCGTATTGCAAAACTCTATCATCAAACAGTTATCTTGAGAATTATTTGGGGCTGATTTTGAAGAACTGAAAAGTAGATAAGTGAAATGACAGAACAAGCAAGACTCAAAAACATCGAACATAATAGCCCCATGATATGAATGCAGACCACTAAGGGAAGGGCTCCTGCTAGACAAAAACTGTTAGGAAAATTGGAAAGTGGTTTGGCCAAAAAAAGGGGGTGGTGGTCGGGGCTTAAGTCGGCATCTTACCCCTTTTAACACAGTAAGCTTCCAAAGGATCCTCAACTCAGATATCACTTTCTCAGTAAACATTTCTTGAGCACTGTTAGGTGTTAGAGATACACAACCAGAAATAAAACTGTTCTTCACACAAGGCGTTTACATTCTGTTGGAGGAGATATATACCTTTTCAGAATCAATTATGACCTTTTCATAGATGCTTTTTATCACTTTTTTTCTTAATAAGTGATGCAAATAGTATAATTGCTTTTACTTTGGGGTCCACAAAACCATTCTGTTAAGGCCAATATGCATAAATTAGCCTGTTTGCAAATGGTTTGACTCATTTGTAAATTGGCAGATAGGGCCAGCCCAAGTGCAAAGAAAAGTTTGTTTTAAAAAACTTAAAAGAACAATTACCAATTTTAGAACATTTTGGGGAATTGGGGAAAATTTATTGTAGTATTAAAGTAGTATAATTTTTCAAAATTAATTTTACTTTGTTTTTAACTCATTGTTAATTCAAAAATATATTTAAAAATAAGTTAAACTTTTTGGTAACTCTTTTAAAAGAGTTACCAGGGAACTGTCTTCAATAAAAACACTTTCTAATTAACTGTATTATTTGTTATGGCTTGAATCCATCGATTTTCTCTTCACCTTAACCTATCTACCTACATAGAGTGAGCTAGACTGGATAGTTTCTAAGGTCCTGTGTATCTATGAAGACAGGCTGGTTCATTTACAAAAAAAGAACTGCTTCTGGATTGAGGGTCAAGTATGTGAGGTTTTTTGTTGCCTCCAAGAAGTCAGAATGTAACGGTGGAAATGTTTGCATCTTTAAATTTCTTCTTGGTTCTTATAATTACTTAATTATATCTTTAGCAGAATAAAAGTGTGTGGGACAGAGACCACTTACTGAAAATTAAAAACAAAGACTTAGATACCTTGAAAGTAGAAAGGAGTTTATTGCTTTCTCATGAGAAAGGGTACCCTCTTGGTCACCATTGGGGGCCAGGAGAGTACGAGTTCCTTACAGAAGTAAACGCTTATTTGTATCCTAACTCAAGCTCTTCCTCCTTAACCCCCTTCCCCTTATCCCATTGGCTCGGCTTTCAGGGGGTACATTCTATTCATGGAGACACAAGTTTGCCCAGAGACAAGAAAAGTCAGGAAGCTTTTCAAGGGCAAGCATTTCAGGTTGGGGGCAGGACAATTCTTTCTGCCAAGTACTTAAAAACAGGGTCTGAGTAGGGGAGGGTTTTGAAAGCAACAATCAAGAACTATTAACTCCCCTGAGGAGGCTTCTCTTCTGAGAAATCATCTCTCACATAAGCTTCTTTAAGACCATATACTCATAGATTCAACACTGGGTTAAGCTTCTTACAGTTATCAATTCCAGCTCTCTTATTTTATAGATAAGAAAACTGAGGCCACAATTGAAATACTTGCCTACAGTCACATAATTAAAAGTTACTGAGACAGGATTCAAACCCAGGTCTGATTAAGTCTAAGTGTAGTACTTAATCTCTACCTGTCAGGACAGGGATTTGCTTTTTATATAATAGGCCCTTAGTAGGCATTTTTTAGTTGTTCACAAGATTGGAAAAGAAACTTTCTCATTTTACATTGACCATGAATGGTAGACATTTGTAGAGATTTCTCTGTACCTGAACAGCATTGAATGTCCCTTTAGTATGCCTGTAGGTACACTAAGGGCCCCATTTCCTTCTCCAAGATCCCTTTGCTGCCTTAGAGAGGTTTCCTGACACATCCAAAATTCTCTTCACCTAATGCAGTTGTTTCCCTTCAGCTTTCCTCCAGCTGGTAAGCCCTTCATTCTACATTTAGATTCTTTATTAAAATGTTAAGTTTTGCATAAGATAAATTTAAAATTTTGATAATCTGGATTTTTAGCTACTCTGGAACCCATCATTTATTTTAACACTGTTCCTATGGAACTACTTCCTTTAATGTTTATTAGAGAATATTAACATTCTGGGAGAGGCCTCCTAGCCAGCATTTAAAGCTTAATGATTTAATTTACACACAATTCTAATAACTTTAATTATCTGGTTCCTCTGGAGACAGCATCTTGGAAGGCAGCAAATTAGAAGAAGAAAGGTTGCAAGGGGCATGCCATTGCAGCAGAAGCTACAACGCAAAGGGGACAAAAGAGAAAAAGTTTATTGAAGCAATAATTGATGCATTCATTATGGACCTGAGTCATTAAGAAAAAGGAGAAATTATGTTTATTGTACTGTTTAAGAAAACAGGGAAATCATAATACATTTCAGAAAGATTTCTGTTTTAAAAGCTTAAAATATTTGACACTTAAGGGATATTCATTTAGCTTGAACAATCATTAATGTAGAATATTTAATTCCCTAGTCATTACTGTACTTTGTTGGTTTGGTTGTGATTTGATGTCTACCAGTTCTGTTGATGTTATAGGTAAATTCAACTTTTTCCTATAGTTTTTGTTTTTTCCATGTTAAAAATGATTGTGGTATTGATGCTTAGGGAACTCATTTCTCTCTTTGTTTTCTTATTTAGGGTGACATTTGTGAACCACACTTCATAAAACTGCTTTTTGAAACTGAGAAGGTAGATATAGTACTACATTTTGCAGCTCAAACACATGTAGGTGAGCATTGTTGTATGTAATGATTGACACATTAAGCTTTCTCAAAAAAATAGTCTATTCCCTATTTTTTTTCTATTTGTTTTGTCCTTTTTACTCCATTTCTGGTAATCTCAGAAACCTCCTGTGAAGCTAGGTTGGCAAGATTTCAAGGTCTTTGAGCATTTTCACTATAAATTAATGTATGGCTTAATCACCAAGAGTAGCATAATTGTTCAGTGTTCCAGCCAAGGAATTGTCTTCAAACTTCCTTTTAGTTAGGTACTATGTGAATGGAAAAAAAATAACTGCTTAGATTATGCACTACTATTTTTAATATGTTTGTTAAGTTTGCTTTTTAAGCTGTGTTGAAAACCAGCTATTCTTAAATGGACCCTACTATATTATTTGTCATTTATATCCTGACAGCTTCCAAAAAAGAGTTCGACATTAATCACTAAATATTTATTAAAGTTCTGTTAAGTAATTAACTCTTTGCTAGGCACTGGAGATAAAAGTACAAAGAATGAAACAATCCCTACTTTCAAGAAACTTGTAGTAAAATGAGGGAGACAAGTACCTGCAAAAACACATACAGCATGTATGTAAAAAAACAAATACAAATCAATACGATAGCTGCAGAATAGTTTGGGAATGGGGACACTTGGTTATGAGAATCTGGAGAGCCTTTATGCAGATAGTGGTGCTTTAGCTGAGCCCTAAAGATCCCTGTAAAATGGTGGCAAGAAGGGAGTGCATTTGCAGGCATGTGGGACAACCAATGCAGAGGTTACCAAGAGGGACAGCGTAAGGAGAAAACAAAAAAGGGAGGTAGACTTTCACCTGGAGAAGGTGTAGTCATGTCACTTTTGTAAAGTTCAGTAGATTTTCAGATAATAAATCCATATTTTAAAAAATTTCTAATAGTATTGTGAGAGAAAAAAAAGCATTTCCTCAATATTTTCTCTAGAACATAGTAATGAAGGGCTAGAATTTTGATTTTTAAAAAAATCTCTTAAAAGTTAATATGTATCTTTGATGTTGATACACTTGTGCTTATATCTTTTATGTTTTATTCAAGCAATAAATATTCCTTCCTAAAACAGTACTAGGTACTGTGCAAGGCATAGAAGTATGAAACAAATTCTCTTTCCATTCTGATATGGTCTTTCAGATCATCAAATTTTAGAAGGCAGGGACTTTGTAGGCACAAAGTCCTTTAGGCCCTCATTATATACTTTAGATGATAAACAGGAGGAATTAAAACTTTGTAATACTATGACACTTTATTTTGTTTTTAAATTTTGAGATTACATTGTTGTTGGTAAGTCTTCCTAGAAAGAATACAGTTTTCATATCATAATTATTTTTGTTAGTATTTTTAAGAGCTTGAACATAATGTTTAAAGAAATAAGGGATTGAATATAATAAAATATTGTTGCCTCCTGTACAAAGTTTAAAACCAAAATCCACTTGGAATGAAATTTGGCTGTAACTTAGTGTCAGCCCATTATAAAGACACTAGGGTAGCACGACACTGTCCCTGTCGTATGTAATCTCCTCAAGGATTTAGCCCTTGACCCTGCCTTGGGCCACCCTGTTCTTCCACCTTTCTAAGGCTGCCCCAGCTGTGCTACCCTTGGCCCTGGCCAAATGACCCTCTGTTCCCTGTGTCTAGCACAGTTTGGCATATAGTAGCTGCTAAATAAATGCCCCTTAACTTAACTCAGCCTCTTAACTTAACCACGCCCAGAAACTCCTAGTTCCATCCTTGGCCTAGAGCTCTCTTCAACTTTTATTAATGTCTTCTCACCCCCCAAACCCCTACTGTTTATATTTGTCCTCTTCCTGCCCCCAGCCTCACCAAGTCACAGCAGTTAATAGAGTGCTGGATGTGGATTTAGGAAGACCCAAGTTCAAATCCAGCCTCAGTCACTAGCTAGCTATGTGACCCTCGGCAAATCATTTAAACTCTGTCTTCCTTAGTTTGCTCATCTGTAAAATGGGAGTAATAAAATCACTCCCTCCCCCTAACCCCCAGGATTATTGTTAGTATCAAATGAGATAATATTTGTAAAGCACTTTACAAACTTTAAAGTACTATATAATTGCTAGCTGCTCTTGTTATTATCATTAAAGTCATGTTTTCCTGGAATCGGTAATTAATAATTTACTATGTAGGCCCCCAGAAAGCTCCCTCTGATGCTAGGCATTTGTTGGGTCAGCATCCATATAAAACCATGGTTCCTGAGCCTCCACTGATGCATTTACTTTTATTATACCAAACAGGACACTTTATTGTAGAGCAAAAGACACCCAATGAAATTAGCAAGATAAGTTACCAGACAAATTCCTCCATACCAGACAAATTCCTCTATACAGACAAGAGTCTCCTACAGATTACCACATTACCAGTGGGAGAGAGAACACGCGTGAAGGGGCATATACATAGGGAATGGGATCAGATGACACATGTAAAAGGCACACGTGTTGTGAAGGTACGTAGAGGTTGGAAAGTTCTGGCCTCTGATGCTGCACATCCAGCAGTGGCCTCTAGTGGTGTCATCAGGTGAACTGCTGTCTCATGTTGGGTTGGATCCTCTGCTGTTCTGGTATTTCAGTCTGAGTACTGTCCTCTGTGTCTGTCTCCATTGTCTTGCCTGCTGCTGTTTAACAACATCTGCTGCTCTCTGGTGCCATTGGCTACTCTTCTTGTGTAATACCACTTCTTCTAGAAAGTGGGAACAGTCTGATAGCTCTTAGCTTTAAGCCCCAGGGCCATCCTTAGTTCCTTTGTGATGTTGACCCAGCTACCTGAACTCTGCTTGCTAGCTAGTAAAAGCCCATAGGCATTTAAAAAATCTGTCTTTTTAAAAACACTTGGTCTCTTCAGCTGTCCTTTGAATGTTTCAGTCCATCTCCTAGCTGAGTTAAGGGTAGAAAATTCATTTTAATTTCTATCATTCCCTGGTTCCCTCATACCATTTCTTTTAGCAAAACTTCAGAGGAACTGGTTGAAGCTGTGGGAATCATCATCCTTGTTTTTCATATAAATCTCTTACACTAGGAATACCAAAAAGACTAGAGGGTTTTCCTTACCTTTCTTCCATACAGTAGTGTTCATGGTATACCATAGTATATAGAAAGGACCATTGTATATGGATTTTTATTTGTAAAATTATTAAAATGGTGATTAAAGAGAATTTCTCTTAATAGATTTTTTTTTCTATTATTATTAGGTCTGAATCTACTATTTCACTGTTTATAGTCTCCCATATATGATTCTCCCTCGTTCCTTTTAATTCCTAGAAATTATAAATTAAAACTTTATGTTCTGGCTCATTCAATCTGTTCTATATTAAGTTCTGAATATCATATGATTCTGCCTTTTTTTTTTTAAGATCTTTCATTTGTCCATGCCTTGGAGTTCACTTATGTCAATGTTTATGGTACTCATGTTTTGCTGAGTGCTGCTTATGAAGCCAGAGTAGAGAAATTCATTTACGTGAGCACTGATGAAGTATATGGAGGTAGCCTTAATGAGGTAAGTTTGGAAAACATTTGTATTTCACCTGCTTTATTTTAAACTTTTTAAGGATAGACTTTTAAAAATAACCACATTTCTCATGCTGTGAAGTTTTTAAAAAGTGTATGTAAAAAGCATGGGATTTGATAAAAATTGACATTTATAAAATCCAACTTATTTCTTTATTAGTGAATGCCTATTTTGGCAGTATTTGTTAGATATTGTTAGATTGGATGGAAGAGAGGCTGCAAATAGGAAGACCAAATGAGTGGTTGCTTTTATATTCATTAGATCATGGATTTAGAGCTGGAAGAAACCAGCTCTATTCAGACATTTTACAGATGAGAAAGTAGATCCAGAGAGGTTAAATGACTCACCCAGAGACTCACAGGGAGTAATGTGGCCAAGCTGGGAACTAGAACCCAGATCCTCTGGTTTCACGTTCGATATTCCTTCCACCCTCCCATCCCATCTTTGTTTTAGCATATAATGGGTATTCCATGAACATGTCATAGACACAAAGCATAGAGGAGAGCTGATACAGGCAGAAATGGGATCTGAGAAAAAGATCTGGGTGGGTAAGAACAGCTGTCCATAATGCGTAAAGTGAAATATATCTGGATAAATATAAATTAGTCTTGAAAAGTACTTGAATTTTAGTTGATTCCAAGCTTAAAATGAGCCAGCAGTGAGATATAGGTGCTAGAAATGCTATTATGACCTCAGGCTACATCAGTAGGAATACAGGGTTTAGATCAAGAAGAATATTAAATCCATTGTACTCTGCACTGGTCAGACCACAAGTAAAATGTTTCATGGGCACATTTTAAGTGTCATTTACAAGCTGGAATACATCCAGAGGAAAAGAATGATAATATTGAGGGAACTTGGACTTGAAACCATGTCAATTGAAGTAACTGGGAATGTTTGGACTGAAAAAAGGAAGAATGTGGAGGGGCATAGTAAGCATCTTCACATATTAGGCTGTGATAAATAGGTTTTATTTGTCTGTGGCTTCAGAGGGCAAAACTAGACCCAAAGAATTGAAATGACAGAAAAGCAGATTTTGACTCTAAGGAGAACTTTCCAACACACTTCTTTAGTGATGAAATGAACAACTTCCTTAAGGTATTGAACTCCTAGTGGTCAAGCAGCAACTAGATGTCCACTTATTGGTAATGTTGTATTAGGGATTTATGCATCAGGTCTAAATAAAGGAGTGGGCCACATGTGGCCTTGAGGTCGCAGGTTCCCTACCCCTGTATTAGATAATCTAAGTGCCTTCCATTCTGAGATTTTATGTGCCTGTGGTCCTCATGCAGTGTATCAAATTATTCTTTCTCAAATGGAGGGCAACAATCTAAAAGTCTTACTAATAAAATATTGACATGATTTTGTAACACCTTGCTGAGTTGTCAGGTTTTATAGGCAAATAATTACCCCTAATTTCTTTGCAAAGTGTGATGATGAGAGCCTGGAGAAGATCATGCTCTTATCACTGTTGATCTGTCATATTGTACTCTATTATGTATTTTATAAGGATATTGTTTTTGGATGTTGCAGTTTTAAACATTTGCCATAGTTTGAAAGGCAGCTTGCCATGATGGTTAGAAAAGCTGTTCCTGGATTTAGGAAAACCTGGGTTCGAATTCTGCCTTTGACTAATACAGGTTTTATGGCTCTGGGTAAGTCACCTAACTTCTTAGTGCTGTAGTGCAACTCTCTAACACCCTAAGTTTGCAGAGAAGGTGCTAGTCTACATCAGAGATCCTAGTGAAATCATAGGTTAGTCCCTGTCCATACTATACTCTATGTTTGAACAAGAGCTTGTGTCAATCCAATTAAGATAAGCTTACCTATGTGATGAACGTGTCAAGTTTGTGATGTGCTTCCTAATTCTCTTGGATAGACATTATGTATGCTAAAAGCTCCTTAATTCCTTTTTAAAATTAGGAATTTGATGAGTCTTCACCAAAACAACCTACAAATCCTTATGCATCATCTAAAGCAGCTGCAGAATGTTTTGTACAGTCTTACTGGGAACAGTATAGGGTAAGTGTTCATTTCAGAGATTTATGAAATAATCTGCAATAGCAACCATTAATCTTTCATTTGTAGATAAGGAGATAGGTGCTGAGTAAAGTTATGTGTTAAGTTATAAAAACCAAAAAACAGTTTTCTTATTTTTTGGGGTAGATAAACTAGGGACCACATGCTCTTTTATATGTCATCATTTAAATCACTAACTACTCATTTTATTAATACATTAGAAATAAAATTTGATGAATTAAGAGAAGATGATGTTGCAAGTACATTGGAATACTTATGCTATTGAGAAAGTGAAAGTTCTTTAAAAACAAATATGTAGGCATGTCAGTACTTTCAAAAAGTATGTTAATTTTATCCTGGTTTAGAACTGATTGATTAGTAAACCTGACATGGCATTTTAAAAGATTTAACAGCACTTCTCTGATTGATCATTGACCTGTCAGATTAAATGCCATGTGAAAAATAGGAAATATTGACTATTTATGAAGTAGGTATGATATTTCACTTTTCAAAATTTTAATACCTACAAAGAAAGGAGCTGGAACTAATAAGTCCTCATAGGGTGAGGAAGAAAAAAAAGTGCCTGGTTCTTTCCCTATTGGGATTCCATGGATCAAGCAAGTCAGGTGAAAGGGAAGAGATAATGATAATGTTCATGTCTGTGCTTTTGGTTCTCTATAAAGAGAGTGGATTGCTTGCAATTGTTTTGTGACTCTTGTTGGCTGTGAAATTTGTTTCCATCCAGTTCACAGCACTGTTATAATTTCCGAAGGGAGATGATATTGCTATAGGGACATAAGTTTGGATTATTTGCTCTAACTAACCAAGTTTGTTCTCTTGCATTTTAAGTTTTTCAGTGTTTTACACGGGAGAGTGAGGGGAATTAGGCATTAAGTACCACTCCCTGCCTCCCTTCCCCCAACAGAAGGAATCATAGGCAAGCAGGACAGCTTTGAAAGTTATGTATTGAATATGTGTAAAAAAAAAAAGCGAGCTCTAGGTTATAGAAATTTGGTGTCATCTACAGTCCTTTCCTATAACTTATGTGGAAATGCTTGTTTTTAAAATGTTTAAGTTCAGAATAAGAATAAAATGAAATGAAAACCCAAAAAAATAAAAACAAAAATGGAAAGAAAAAAGACAGAACCAGAAGATTAGATTATTTATTAACTACACTCATATAAAAAAAGTGAATGAGAATAAAAAGATAAGAATCCTGATTGGAATTTAATCTGTTGTATGTTGAATTTTACTATGCACTTACTATGCAATATAGTTGTTTTCAATTTTTTTAATGTTGTTTTTAATAAAAACATTTAAAGGGGAAAAAAAAGAAAATGAGGTCCTTTTTTCATTACTTATTGTCCAGTGGATGGAGAATAGGGGAAAAAACCCTAAAGTGCTTTTACGTATATCATCTCATATAATTCTTTAAGCACCCTTCGAGGTAGGTAGTAGAGGTGTTATTATTTCCATTTTACAGATGAGGGCATGAAGCTCAGGGAATTTAAATGATTTGCCTGAGGTCACTAGAACCAGAATCTCTCTAAGTAGGGATTCTAACTTGGGTGTTCCTGATTCTGTCTTTAGCATTCTACCTAGTATGCCATTTAACTGCCTTTTATAGTAAAAACAGCATTGTTAAAAACATCACTGTCGTTTCCTGTTTCTCACTAGAACCTTCCGTTGTAACAAATAAATCTTGTTTAACGTTGATCATGTCCAAAAACACATTCCTCATTTTGCATTTCTGGTTCACTACCTCTCTGCATTATGAATGCTTCACTGTCACTATCTTAAAGTCATGATTGATCACTGTATTGTTCAGAGTTCTCAAGTCTTTCAGTGTTTACAAAATTGTAGTCATAGAAATTGTTTTCCTGGTTTTGCTTATTTTACTCTCTAGGTTCACGAAAGTTTTCACAAATTACTCAGGGTTCTTCATTCAATCACTTCTTAAGACACAGTAATGTTCTGCTACTTTTATATCCACCATTGTTCATCTTTTCCAAAGTTAATGGGCACCTACTTTTTTTTTTCTCCGGTTCTTTGTAATTTACCACCAGCACGCTTTCTTCTCTGCCATCTGGCCTTTATTATCTGGATTGCAAGATGTACTTTTTATATGTTTGAAGAAGAATTGCATTCAAATGTTTTAGAATAAAAAACAGTTTTTGTTTCCCCTTTTTTTCCTAGAGAAGGAGATTTGTATAGCACATATAGAGATCTAACTTAGAATTTAAAGGCTTCTCCTTACCACAATTCTAGAGGTACAGACAGTGTGATGTGGTAGAACACTGGTGTGAAACTGAAGTACAGATAGGTTCGTGTGGCTGCATAATGATTTAGAACACCACAAATTAACAAGATCTGTTTTGTATTGTGTTTTATTTATTTCGTTAAACATTTCCTAATGACATTTTAATCTGGTTGGAGGGCTGGCTCTGTAGTAGATCATTGCTTTTTGGAGTCAGACTAGGCTTGAATCTGAACTTTGCTGTTTCCTTACCTAGGTGATCTCCAGCAAGTCACTTAATGTCAGTCTAAGTTTCCTTTTTGGCACTTTATGCATTAAATAATTTGTGATATGCAGAGAGATTGAGGTAAAATCAGATACCTTTAAAAATCATGCCTAGCTTTATTTAAAAAAAGCCTTAAGCTTACAGTACCTCTTTAATAACTATCTTTTATACTTTGAAGTTTCCGGTTGTTATCACAAGGAGCAGTAATGTTTATGGACCACATCAGTATCCAGAAAAGGTAAGTTTAAGTTCCAGTTGACATATTTCCAGCAATGGTTTTGCTTTTCAGTGTGAAAAATGAATTGTTTATAACTTTGGTCAGTCCATGTCCAGACCTCTATCCAGATATCATTTAACCTACCTCTTTGCCTTCTTACCAACATTAGCATCTTGATACCAGTTAGGATTTGAAAAAAAATTTAAAGTCTAGGTTTAAGTAGTTTAGACAGTGATATCTGAGACTTAAACACAAATTAATTGTATTGCCATTGCCATATTCTTTTTTTTTGTTGTTGTTTGTTTGTTTTTTGTTTTTTTGCTAGGTAGTGGTGTTAAATGACTTGCCCAGGGTCACGCAGCTAGTAAGTGGCAAGTGTCTGAGGCCAGATTTGAACTCAGATTCTCTTGACTCCAGGGCCGATGAGCTATGCACTACACCACCTAGGTGCCCTGCCATTGCCATATTCTTGACAGACATAATGAGAGGGTTCATAATTGAAATGCTAAGAGCCAGTCTCTGCTTTCTAGTTCAAGAATCCTAAGTAGGGTCTGAGTTGCCTACCCCTGAAGTTTCTCTGTTTCTTACATGGTTGTATTGGCTGTGTTGCAAATAAGATCATGCCATGTTAGACAGAGATTAAAGTCTTGCTTTAGCATGTTTTGTTTGATATAAAATTTCAGGTGGTGTTGCAGTCATTAGAGAATAGCAGTTTTGTTCTCTTGCCCTATATATTATCTTTCTTCAACTTATTATAAAGTCAAACAAAATTTTTGATATAAGAAATCATATTTCTGGGTAACATCCTGTGAAATAATTTATCTTGAATTTTTAAGAAACTTTTTGTTTTGGGTTTGGTTTTCTCTTTTGTCCATCAAAAAATTGGGCATGTTAGAGGATATGATGTAGTAACTATCTGTTATCTGGGACAGGTTAGCATGTGATATAAAGTTGTCTCAGGAATTTGTAGAGTACCTTTTCGTGGACTTCCCACATTAAATAAAACCAGACCACTAAAGTAGACTCAACAAATACACATTTTTAGTGATTTTAGCATTTAGTAGTGATTAAGAAGATTTTGCATAATGCTGTTAATCTTCTGCAAGGGCATCATAACAAAAGCATTAATCTTATGGAAAAGTCAGATAAATGTGAATGTGACCTAATTACTTCTACAACCAGAAATAATGTTAAATATTCTCTTTAGGTTATTCCAAAATTTATATCTTTATTGCAACACAACAGAAAATGGTATGTAATCTTCCCTTTTTTTATCCCCCCAACCCCTGTTTTTGGTATATGTTGTGTAATATAATGAATATAATGTGTATTGATAATAGTTGCCACTGATTACTATTGTCTCTTGTTATTTTTCTAATGGGAACTCATGAATCAACTATAATTTATTGGGTTAAATTTATCGATCAATAATATCAGAATTTGACTATCTCTTTACATGTAACTTAAATTTATGTTCACACTGTAGATAGAACTGGATGAATTTGCAGGATACATTTCTGATATGAAAACTGGTGAAAGAGTAGTTCTCAAGGGGCATATTTTGCCTAAGGGAGCATCCTAGAATCCTGATGTTATGTTAGAAAACCTAAGATAGCCATTTAGGACTGATAAGTTCACATTGGGAGTAGTCCTCTTAACACTATGGTGTCTGTTAGGTCCCTGGCTTCTTTCTTAATGTAGGGATCATAAGAAAATGTTTAGTGTCCCGTATAAATCAGCATCCAGGCACATTTCTGCTACTTTTATAGTAAAAGTGTTCATTTGGTTATGGTAAATGGCTGAATTTTGTTTAATCTTTTTAGTTGCATTCATGGTTCAGGACTCCAAAAAAGAAATTTCCTTTATGCTGCTGATGTAGTAGAAGCTTTTCTCACCGTTCTAAAGAAAGGGAAACCAGGTGAAATTTATAACATAGGAACCAATTTTGAGATGTCAGTTGCACAACTTGCCAAAGAATTGATACAATTGGTAAGTATATATAATAAAAAGACACAGTTTTTACGGTTGAATTCTGACTTACTGGAATTAGTTTATAAAAAATAAGCACTTGAATAAACTGTCTGAAAGTATATTTATGGAAGATGTAATAATTTTAATAGGTATTAAAGTCATACCTTTGTATTACAGAAGCTTATTTGTGAATGTTGGTATTAAGGATAATAGGGAGAAATTAAGTTAAAAATAAAAGCTGATGAAATCCTTTCTCTCCTTCCATTTAAAAAAAAAGACAATCTTTTGTACTTGAATGAAAGACTAGTTTAAAAAAGCAATGTGTGTCTGATTTTGCTATAACCAACCCTTTTCAGGGTTTGTAATGAATAATTCAGATGTTCTGTGTTATAGGTATACTTCCTTTTTTGTCTTTCTTTTTGAAATGTGTTCTTTTTCAAATTAATTTCAAAAGTAATGATGTTTTAAGTTCTTGTGTTATATTTTGACTTAAATCATTCTCCTCTTTGACAGATCAAAGAAACCAATTCAGAGTCTGAAATGGAAAATTGGGTTGATTATGTTGATGATAGGTAAGAAATGGGTTGAGATACTGGTAAAGGGTTATAAAGTGTTGAGTATTTGTAAAGTCCTAAAATTTTAGGACTTAAGTCATCTGATTTCTTTTTAAGTAGAACAACATTGAAATCACAAGTAAATGAAATTTTGTCTGATTCATAAAGATTGGCTTTTCTAAAAGGCCATCCCAGTTTTTTTTAACTCTTATTCTAAAGAATATTTTACATGTAATGATAAAGTAAGAGCATAATTTAAGCCCATTTTTTATTATTCTGTCTTCAGTCTACTCATAAATAGCTCATCATGAGCCTCTGTTTCTGTGTACATGAATCTTATGTTTATGTAAAATAAAATTACTGTTGCCTCATAGGTAAGGGTGTAGAACCTGAACTCCAAGCCCAAGTTTCAAATCTTGTCCCATAGGTAATTGGTGAAATGGAAAGAGCACTCATCAGGTGTTGCAGTCAGATGACCAGGCTTCAGGTCCTAGCACTTCCGTTCTCATGTATGACCTTAGGCCAGCCACTAATCAGTCTCTCTGTGCCTTAGTTTTCTGCTCTGTAGAAATGGGAGTTGAATTCCATGACTCTTAAGATTCTTTCCAACTCTGTATCTGTGATCCTCAGGATTTGCACTGAAACATAGTACCTATATCAGTTACTGTTGAAGTCTAGGTTATAGATATGGTCCAAGCCCTTGAGAGATACATGGTCAAGTGACCTTTGGAGGTAGAAGATTTCAAGGTCTAGGTACCTCAGGGGTCTGATTAGAATTTTGTCATTTCCCTGAGATGCTTGTATTTTCCACTCCCCATTACTTACACTTCCTAGGTATGCACTTGGGTAAGTCACTTAATCACATTTGTGTAAAATGGGGATGATAATAATACCTTACAGGGTTGTTTTGAGGATCAAATGAGACAATATTTATAAAAAAGAAGTGCTTAACATAGTACCTGGCACATAGTAGGCACTCTAAATGCTTCTTTTCCACCCTTCCTTCCCCTTCATCAGTTCACTGATTTCCTAAGACTTTCCACGTGAGGCCCTGCAATCCCATAGGCTCCCTGGGTCCTAGGGTTATGAAATGAAATAAAGTGACCTAGAGTTATGAAATGAAGGATTATTCTCGTGTTGTGCTAGGAGTTATTCTTGTCCTTCTTGTTCACTGTTAGGTAAAAAGCATCAGGATACATAGTAAGTACTGCATGGACAATGCCAAATAGTCCATTTGGAAGAGGGAAGGAAGGTTTTTTTTTTCACCACTGACATGGAGTTGGAAGCATAAGACATTAGTTTTGAAGATAGCCAAAGAGTTGGAGTGGTATGATATGGTAGAAGTTAGTGTCATTCACGTTTAGGTTGTAACGGAAATAATAAAAGAATAAGGATATATAATTAAAGAAGTAATTAAAAATGTATAGAAAAGGAAATGGTGATTTTAAAGATCCAGTATGGTTTCCTCAGTAGTGAGTCCTGCTAGAAGGGTTGCTAAATGGATAGAACTGGAGAGCTAGGGGATGCTACAGATAAAGTTGACTTAGATTTACCAAAATGTTTGGCAAAATATCTGATGCCTTAGTGGAAAAGATGAAGAGGTGTGACTAGACAGTAATTCAATTAAATAGGTTTGATTGGTTGAACTTAGAATAGTTGTTAATGTTTCAATGTCAGCTTTGCAGGAAGTTTCCAGTGCAATGCCTCAGTGATCTGTGCTTAGCCCTAAACTGTTTAACATTTTTAGCAATAACTTAGATAAGGGAATAGGTGGCATGCTATTCAGATTTGCAGAAGGCATAAAGTTGAAAGGGATAACTAATGTACTGGGTGATAAAATCAGGTTCCAAAAAGTGCTTGTCAGGCTAAAGCATTTGGATGAATCTTAGATGAAATTCAATAGGGATGATATAAAATCTTAGACTTATATCCAAAAAAATCAACTTCACAGGTGTAGGGTGGGTGAGGCAGCAGTTTGCCTGAAAAATATTGGGTTTTTTTAGTGAACTGCACGTTCAGTATAAGCCAGCAGTGTGAGGTGGCAGTCAAAAAATCGAATGTGATCTTGTGCCACATTAAGAGAGTCATAGCTTCCAGGAATAAGGAACTCATGCTCTGCCCTGACCATTCCACATCTAGAGAATTGTGTTTAGTTCTGGGCACCATAGCTTAAGGACATGATTAACTTAGAAGGTATCTAGAGGAGGGTATCCAGCATGACAAAAAGCCTTGAGTCTGTGTCAAATGAGGAAAGGCTGAATAGATATTTATTTAACCTGGAGAAGGAAAGACTTGAGATATGATAGGTGTCCTTAGTATTTCTCCAGACATTGTCTTTCCCCCAGCAACTAGCACTGTATACTTAGTGGGAGTTTAATAAATATTTGTTGAATAAATGAATGCCCTTCCATTTAACTGCAACTGTAATTTCTCCAGCTTTCAGCTACAGCTGGGATGTTTTGTGTAGACATGGTTTCATTCCTTTAGTAGTGCCTCAAATCAGTGATTATTAGAAATCTCATATTGTTGGTAAGTGGGTACTAGTAGATGCTCTAAAACTGAATTGATGCATAGCATCCCATGACTCTTTTTTTTCCCTCTTCCATCATAGTCACTGTGGTAGTGAAGGATTGAGGAGCATCCATCACCATAGCAACATTCATTACCTAGTGCTTATCTCTGTAGGGCAGGGGTTCTTAACCTTTTTTGTGCTATAAACTTGTTTGACAGTCTGATGAAGCTTATGGACTCCTTTTCAGAATAGTTTTGGTAAATACGTAAAATACATAGTTACAATGTACCCCCTGAAATCTATCCACTGACCCCTGGGGAGTCTGTATGCCAGGTTAAGAACTCCTGCTCTTTTATTTAGGTCTTTGGACAATAAATGCAGGCTTTTGCCCATAAACAAACAAGTGTACGCAGGTAAAATTTGGACCAAAATTTACCTTAAAAATTTTGGTTTAAAAAAAAAAAGACCAAGAACATTAATTCATGGCACTTCATATTCTGAGTTTGAACTGGTATTGTCATGGGCATTTTCCATCATTTAAAGTTATAATTGGTAACTGTGTATGAGATTTAAACTTAAATGTCATTTCATTCACTCTGGTTTTTTTTAGACCTTCCAATGACATGAGATATCCTATGAAATCAGAAAAAATGCATGGTTTGGGATGGAGACCTAAAGTTCCCTGGAAAGAAGGAATAAAGAAAACAAGTATGTTTTAAAATACTTTTTTTCCTGGAATTAGGGTTAGTAATTTGAAGAAAAGGAAAATGTGATGTATTTTAAGAATACTCTAGAACTAGATTTGAATATTAATATCTTTGAATTTCAGATGCTATACATCCCTGCACAGACAAGACTCCTATAGCATTTGCTGGCAAGTTGTCATCCAAATTTTGCTTAAAGACATCTAAGAATGAGGAACATGCTACACTTCCCCTCATCCCTACCCTCCACTATAGGACTCTAAATTTGTCTGTATTAAATTTCATCTTTTTGTTTCTTGGAAAGGATAGAATTATGAACTGAATTTTCTAGGGTCCTAATTCTATCATCCATCATATTAGCAGGACCTCTCAACTTCATGGCAGCCATAATTTCAATAAGTTTGCTCTGTTTTCAGCAGAATCATTGACAAAAGTGTTGGACATAACCTGACCAAGGGCAAGAACTTGTGACTTTTCACTAAATGTTGTCCTCCAGATTAACATTGATTCATTCATTAATCACCACTTTTTGGATCAGGACAATCAATCAGTCCCACCACCTACCTAAATTAGGGTTAGAAAGATTTTGTCAAATGTCATGCTGTAACCTTTTTCCTTTGGTGAGGAGGTTGGGGGAATGAGTCTGATTTCATTCATGTGAGGAAATTCCTTCCACCAATGCAGATCAGCAGCTGTTCTGCAACTTATAGTAGTAGAGAGTTACCTGAGACAGTGAGGAGTTAAATGACTTGTCTTAGGTCACTGTTAGTTTGTGTCAGAATGGGAACTTGAACCCAGGGCATCTGAGGCTGGTCTTCTCTCCACTAAACCATGCTAAGCCACTGTACTGAACTGCTTATCTATATCTTTGCTTTGGTTTACTTATTTAGTAACCTTGTCAGAAAGGGAAATAAGGTTGGTATGGTATGATTTGTTCTTAAGGAGCCCCTTTCTGTTGTATGCATCACCTCTTTCCTTTCTAAGTGCTTACAAATTACCCCTTTAATAATCCATTCTAGAATTTTACTTAGTAAATGAGGTCAGGGTTCTTTGCCCATAGTTTAAAGCATCCACTTTTGGGGGGTGGGGTGTGAAAATATGAGTGTTCTTAACACAGCTCTGCAGCAATTTTCCCATTCACCAGGATTCCTTGAAAAGATGACCCAACAGAAATTTAACAGTCAACATCTACAGGTTTTTAGTGTCCTGAGGTATAATTTACCTGTGACATTTGATAAAGCTATTTCATTACTTATTTTGAGTTCTAATTCACGCTTAATTCTTCTTGGAAGATAAAATAGAAGCAGAATAGGAGTAAAGTAATTGTTCTTTCTCTCAGCGGTCCTTGATCATCTTCCTAGCCATCATACTGTGCCTTTCTTGATCTGCCTGTTGCCTTCCAAAATAGCTTTTAGATACATTTTATTGATGGCATTAAAAAATTGTCTTTATCTTTGCAGACGTTATCTCTCTGTTGGGTTCCTTCCCCTTCCCAATTGAACAGTTTAAAAAACCACTTATTAGAAATATTCTGTCTAGCAAAGAAAATTCCCATATTAGACGTCTCCTCTTACCACAGATCTGAAAGGTCATTTCTTCCTTGTTCCTCTGATTTGCTTCTAATGTCACCTTTTTATGTCTAAGTCATGTGTCCTTTTGGAGTTTATCTGGCATATGGTTTTGAGGTGTTGGGTCGTTGCCTATTTTCTGCCCAGCCACTTCACAATTGGCCACTTCTGGTGGCCCAGAAATGAATAGTGACAGTTGGGGAGGCCATTACTTCCTTTTTTTTTTTTGTGAGGCAATAGGGGTTAAGTGACTTGCGCAGGGTCACACAGCAAGTAAGTATTACTTGTCTGAGGCTGGATTTGAACTCAGGTCCTCCTGACTCCAAGGCCAGAGCTTTATTCACTGAGCCACCTAGCTGCCCCGAGGCCATTACTTCTTACCTAGATTTATTTAAACTTGTGAAAATCTGTATCTTTCTTTCGAAAGTCCTTAAGACATATCAGACTACACAGTGATCAAGAGAACTGCTCATCAACGTTTCAGTTGATTTTTTTTAATATTGTTAAATGTTTTAGTAGGAAATTCAAGAAGTATTCAACATATCCCAAAAAATCCATTAGATAAACAAGATTAAGTGGGTACATGTACATATATTAAGACCCTTTGCAGAAATATTCTGGTTTGTATATTTATTCTGGACTAAGGAGCAATGTGACCTCATGAAACAGTGTGAGATATGGAGGCAGCAAGGTAGCAGTTCAGATCCCCCTTTCCCATTAACTAGCTGTGTAACTGTGGACAAGTCTCTAACTTCTCTGAGCCTCACTTTGCTCTGTAGCAAAATGGGAGTCATAATAACTGTAGATTTATCTCTTAGGGCTGTTCATGAAGATCAAGGGAGATAACATAACAGTGTTTTGCAAATGTTAATGTTATATATCCATGTCTGTCTGTCTCTCTGTTTCAGTGTCTCAGCTGTTATAATTATTACTGTAGATAGGATGCAGTCAGATATTTAGGGAACGTTGGTTTAGGGCTTACTGTAGAATGAATTAATACTTCTACTGATTCAAAAAAAAGTTCACTTTTTAAAAAATGTTATTGAGTTAATGGGGAGAGAATGAAAAAATTAGCTTTTGAAGACTTGGTTTAAAAAAATGTTAGCAAGATTATTTTGAACTATTTTTTAACTCATTAAAAGTGCTTGTAAAAAGGTTAATTTATTCTTAAGCCCTGAATTGTGCTATTTTCTGTACTTGAACACCTCCCTCCCAGTTTTTGGATGTATAAGTTGACACATACATGAGTGCATACACGTATATACATACTTGGCATACATATACAAGCATATGTGTATTGCATGTTATGTATATATACACATATATAAATAACTAAATGTGGAAATACATCAATTACTAGACATTTTTTAAAAGAAACTTAGCAAGTTGTTTTTTCCCCTAGTTTTTCTTTGATGTGAAGAATTTTTATAAAAAGTGTTAAAAATTATGGCAGTACAATAGCCTTCAAGTGTTATGTGTTTAAAATAAATATAGAAGAAAAGTTAAAATTTTTTTCTTTCTTTTTCATATCAGTTGAATGGTACAAAGAGAATTTTCATAACTGGAAGAATGCAGAAAAGGCTTTGGAGCCCTTTCCTGTGGAATAAAAATTTTTACAATAAACAACATTTATGGGAGAGAAAAGAAGAAAATCGTTCTACCTCACAGATACTTGATATGAAATAAAGTTACCAAACAGAATCTTCTTTCCTTTTGGAAGTAGATTCAGGTATTTTTGCACAAAATCTCAAGGGCAAAATTATGTTATAAATAATAGATATTCCCAGTTCATGGAAGAGTCGCATTATGAGCTGACTTGATGGAATTTTGATCTACTGTCAATTGTATTCTCAAAGGATGATGCTACTTTTCTGCACAATAGGAAACAATAGGAAATAAGATGAATGAAGTGTGGAGAAACACAACTGACAGATGTATCTATAAAGAGAGAGTCCATCCCTTGGGTTCGGAAGTCTCATCAACTAGAGAAAGGTCTGCTTCACAAGTGGTCCACAGGCCCAGAAATCAATCATGGCAGTAGGGAAGGCATCACTTGCAGGCCTGTTCTCTGCTCTGACGCTGTGAATATTCTACAGATCTACTTCTTGCTAGGGATTGTTATAAATTTGAATCTTAAGGTAATACAGAGTAAGTTTTTATCCTAATTAAAGCCTGAAATTCCATTATATGATTTGCCGTAAAATGAGAAATACCTGTCTGTACGAAGCAATAAAGTTGGAGTAAGATAAAAACATTTCAAGCACTTTTAAATTTTGGTACTTGATTTTTAATAATTGATTAACTTAGTAAAGTTAACTGTGGAATTTAAAAACTTCTAGAAGAATATATTTATAAAAATAGGAATGTAAGATTTATATAAGTTTCTAAATTATTTTAACTGCAAAAAAAATTGAGTTAAAGAGGAAATGTACTGCAAGTCTAGCTTTCATTTTGTGTTTATGAAATTATGTCATATTAATGTTTTTAATGAGACATTCATGCTTTTTATTCTATTTTCTATTTAAAATACAATGAATACTTCATATATATATGTATGTATAATATTTTATCTATATTCATGACCAAAAATGCATAGCTTGGCCAACTTAAGTTAAATGATGTTGGAAACTTAAAACATGAATTCAACAAATATTTTTGGAGCATACTTTGTACATATCATTGAACTTAAGAAATACTTTTTTAAAAGTGTTCTTTTTCAAGAAACCAAAATTTTTTATTTTTCATTTTTAGAATTACTTTTATACCATTAAATTCAGGTCTTTTGCTTTCAAGATTAACATTAATTCTCCTAATTAACAAAATTAGCTTATCATGAAGGGAAGCATTTTAATTTTTAACATTTATAAAATTGATGTCCACATAAATCATTTTCTATTAAAGCGTTTTTAACATTTCTGCTGTCTCATTGAATTTTTTTAAAACATCATTTAGCATTTATTGATTACTTTTACAAAGTAAATGGCACTTCTAACTGTTGTGAGAATGGGAAGTATGATAAGGGAAAAGGCATGTGAAAGCTGGGATGAAATGTCTACATCTACATGTGATGTAAATCTAGCATATCTTTACTTTTTGTGGAGATCAACATTGGGTATAGAAATCTTATCAAGCCATTCCTGGAACTGAATCAGTTCATCCATAAAGATGTTGGACAAAGGTATGTGACCTTCCCGAAATTATTTATTACTATCTTGAAGGCAGTTTTCCAGGGATTTGGTTGGAGAAGTGAGACCAGTGATTGGTGACTCTCACATATGTGTTTTATGTAAAAGCTTACCTTTTGTTTCTTTTTTTTCTTTTTCTTTTTTTTTTTTTTTTCCATTTGTGAGGCAGTTGGGGTTAAGTAACTTGCCCAGGGTCACACAGCTAGTAAGTGTTAAGTGTCTGGTTGCAGACCAGATTTGAACGCAGGTCCACCTGACTCCAAGGCCAATGCTGTATCCAAGCTGCCCCTTGCCTTTTGTTTCTAAATGTCCCAAAGTCTCAGTGGCTATCTGATTGTTTTATAAATGTAATTGAACAATATGATGTGGATACTTCACAGCATTGCCTCCCAGAGCATCCTTGCATGCGGAAAGTTCAGATAGGAAACAAGGGTGTTCTATCTTTGACACCAGCTTTGCCAGTACAATAGCCTGGATAGAGAATGAGGAAGAAGATGCAAAAGAGCTTGGATGGGTTGCCACCATATCTACACATTATATGATAATCAGGAAAGAAATAGTCAAACCTACAACGTCAACCCTAGACCCCAACCACGTCCCTCTCCTGTCTTTGTCCCAGGACGATTACCAGTACCTGGCCACCTGCCTCTGGCCTCCCATGAGCCTCTCCAGTGCTGCAGAGATGATTAATGGACCAGAATCAAACTTCCTCAGCCCTCAAACTTTTTCAGCATCTTAAACTATCACTTTCTACCTCCCGATTAAACTCTTCCAGGCTATGCCTTCACCTGAGGCAGGACATCACCACCTGTTATAAGGCTGAATCTCAAGAGAAGACAACAGTCTCCTCAGAGCAGCCTGGTGGTGCAATGATGAGAGTGCTGAGCTTGGAATCAGGAAGACCTGAGTTCAAATCCAGTCTCAAGCATTTACTAACTCTGTAACTTTGGGCAAATCACTTAAACTCTTTGCCTCAGTTTCCTTATCTATAAAATGGGGCTAATAATAGTACCTGCCTTCCCGAGTTAATGTGAGGATCAAATGAGATAATTATAAAGTGCTTAGCTCAGTGCCTGACGCATAGTAGATGCTATATAAATGGTAGCTATTATTAATCACCTGCCTCCTTCAAAGGACCTCTATACACTGTTAGAGCCTGGGCTCATTCTCAGTAGTTGGCATACTCCCACCATCTTGTTCTCCCCCCATCCTAGTCATTTTGTTAGTTTTTTTATTTAGTTAGGCAGTAGGGTTAAGTGACTTGCCCAGGGTCACACAGCTAGTAAGTGTTATGTGTCTGAGGCCGGATTTGAACTCAGGTCCTCCTGAATCCAAGGTGGGTGCTCTATCCACTGCGCCACCTAGCTGCTCCTGTCCTAGTCATTTTGAACAACAAGCTGCTGATCGGCAAATCCTACTTCCCATCCCCAGCTTCCTGCTTCCTTACTTCCATACTTCTCAATCCTGCTCTTCCCCTACTCACCAGTGTTCTGTTCTAGATCTACATGCTTCTCCCATTTTGCTCTTTGGAATACTTGCTCCATAGTTTACAAACCCTTTCATAATTCATCCTCTCCCTGTTTCACTCCTTCCGTCTTCTGGCACTCACTGACACCTGGCTCCCTCCTGGTATCGCCTTCTTACATCCTTGACCACCCTTTCTGGTACTGAATTATTACAAATGCAAAAGTATTAGAATTTGGGTCCTACCTCACTGGCCATGGTGGGGGTTTTGGCATATTCCTTGTTCTATAGATAAAATATGGATTGGGTAATTAATTTGGATAGTATAATCCTCAAAAGAGGAGGGGTTGCTGAGTGATGGTGGTAAAGGGATAATCTGAAAGTAGCTGTGGGAGACAAGTTATCTCTTATCTAGCTTTGCCAGGGCAGACTTTTCAGCATGAACTCTTGATCACATCACCTTCCATCTCCAGAGCATCCCCACTGTCTGCTCCATTCTCTTGGTAATCTCCAATTTCTCCATTATCTGTCAGTCCCTTCCCTGCTACCCACAAACACACCCATGTTTTCCCCGTCCTTAAAAAACAAAAACACAGCTCATTTTATCCCAC